GGAAGCTGTTCGGCCGCGCGTCCCTCGAGCCAGCCAATGCCTCGCTGCTAACTCCCCGGTGACGCGGAGGTTCTCCTGCCCCTGGGATGACGACCGCTAACTGGGCAGGACTTCAAACTTCAGCAGATAATTCGGGAGCTCCTCAAATTCTGCTGGATTCCTAAAACATCCCTGGTTTCGCAGCTGACCAAATACTTGCGTTTGAAAGACTAGCAAAGACGTTTATACATACCGGAAGAAAATGCCGCCAAGTGCAAGCAAGGAGGTGCCAGCATAACCCTCCACCCGCTTTCATCTTTAAAAGTTCCCTTGCACAGTTAGTCTAATATTAACATGTTAGAATCAGCACATAAAAGATCGGCTTTTTGTGTTTTATTTGGTTTTCAATGAAAGCAAATGCCTGAGACTATTTAATCACAAACCTCCACAAATGACTTATTTCCGTATCTAAAATATTAAAAATCTTTCAGTATCCCCGCCTCCCGTGTCTCTACGGCAAAACTGTCATGGTCACTTTCGTATTTATTTTGAATACGTCTAATTAACATGGGCCTTTGTTTTGAAAAGTTATTGTACTTTAGTATACTTTAGCATTATACCAGGATTAATTAGTGAATACTAGGATTAATTAGTGAAATTATTCCTCAAGTTTTTCCTTTGGAGCCAACCATTTCTTAAACACTGGATAATATTTTAAATCTATGTTTGTATTTACAAAACCAGAATAGTTAAATCAATAAAGAAATATCAACCAGCTTTGAACATTTTAAATTAAAACAATCCTGATTTTTTAAATGTTTCCATCTTTCAACCAGCTTTATTTGTACTTTACAGAAATAAATTGATGCTGATTTGAAGAATGACAAGAATTTCTAATTTTTTGGAATGCTACGCCAAGTATTATCCTCCAGTACTTCATAGGAAAATGTAGGAAAGCTTTAATCAGAATTCCAAAGGATGGTTTTGACAGCAACGCCCCGCAAAAAGACTGCTATACCCAAGCAACCACAGCTGAAACCTGTGGACAGGCTATCCCAGGTTTAATGGGGTTCTTCTAATGAAATATACCTATCAAAACCACTTAAGTTACATTGGTTTCATTTGGGAAATTGTGTTAATTGGAGAAAAATTATCTCTGGGTCAACCTAGCGCCATTTCTGTCTGGGGAAAATAAACCAGGCAGCGTTTGTGTGAATGCGCTTCAGTTTCGCCTGTGGGTAGGCACGTCAGTCCCCTCCAGCCTCCCTCTGCCTCGCCAACCTGTTCACCAGCGCGTGAGGCTGCAGCCAGCGGCAGTTACTGCGCCCAGCCGTCACCTCCTAGTTCTGACGCTGGCATACGGCCAGCTTCTGCCGTCGGCACTCAGACTGCCCCGGCCGGGGACGAGCACCCTGGCAGATCACCTGCATCTTCTTTCAGCATGGACTGTCTGCCAAGCTCGCAAGTGACTTCTTGCCCTGCATCTTCCTGCACTTCCATGTCAAACTAAGGTACAGAAAAGCCTCGCTAAAAACTAATGCCTCTGGGATGGGCACAATAATACAATCTTCTGCCGTCGGCACTCAGACTGCCCCGGCCGGGGACGAGCACCCTGGCAGATCACCTGCATCTTCTTTCAGCATGGACTGTCTGCCAAGCTCGCAAGTGACTTCTTGCCCTGCATCTTCCTGCACTTCCATGTCAAACTAAGGTACAGAAAAGCCTCGCTAAAAACTAATGCCTCTGGGATGGGCACAATAATACAAACTAAAAAAAAAAAAGGGGGGTGGGGGGAGAGGTAATGCTGATCCCTAGTTGTTTTGGGCTTTTCCCCACTCGCCGCACGGAACAGAGAACATCCTCCAAGCAAAACCACAATTGCCAGGCCTCTCTCCCACACACTCAGAGTGCTCCCAAGCCCTCCTCTTTTCTCAATCCAAACTGCTGTTTCTGATTAGCACGTAGCATCTGCTAGAACACCACACCAAAACCGACCCAATGTAAAAACCACAGCAGCGCTAGGAGCCCTCACCTACAGAACTTTCCTATATAAACCCGAAACACACATGAAAAAGCGTAGATAGTTCAGTCAAGAGCACAGTGTGGTAACTTGATTTGCTTGCATGGTACTGAGAACAGGAAGTTGCAAAACCACTTACCATGTCCAGGGGCTTCCAACAGTACACAGCAACACTGGAGACGGCATCACAAAACTGCAAGGGAAGGAAAAATGGAAAAACCAACCACTTTAATCTCTGAAATTGGACAATGAGCATTAAGGAGTTAGGATTTCTGTATTTCTGCTTTTGTCTACCGGAATCGGTACCTGCAGTTTCCAGAATGTCAGATACTAACAAAAGCTGAGCATCTGCGGAGTTTAGCTAAACGCAAAACGTTTTGAGTCTTTTTGGAAGCGCTGACAAACCGGGGCGACCAAGAGCATGCAATTCACAGGAGAGGCTGGCAGAGCTGAATTTAACCAAGGAAATGGACAAGGCCTGCTTTGATTTCAACAACAAGGTTTTAGCGGTAGCCAGCGAACACAAACTGAAGTAATTAGTGGAAAGCCTCAGGAAGGTCATGGGACAAGCAGCCTGATCACACATCCTTTCATTCCTTCTCAACACCTTTCACCATATGTGAAACCTACATAGCACTTTCACTGCCCAAATTACGGTCCAGCTAGGTGTCAGCTTTCCTGAGCCTACAGGTTTAATTTGTCATTTTAGTTATGTTATTAAATGTTATGTTATTTTTATGTTATTTATTAAGTGCTATTTAAGTTGTGCTATTAAAGTTTATTTTTCCCCAAGTTGGTGCTGTTGTCTAACTGTGGTATTTGCTGAGCTTTGTTAGCATGTCACTGGGAAATAAAAATTCCATTTCTTACGGAGGGGGCCTTAGTTACGCCCTGCAATTCCTCAAGCCCCAGCACCTCTCATGTAAAATCCCAACAGCCCATGGCAGAACTGTTCACCTGACCTTACACAACCACGTCTGCGGATCTCACAAGAAGCCCTTCCTATCCTGCCTGGACAAAGAACGTTCTTCAGAAAATGAAACAACAGAGTGAGCAGGTTAACGATCCCATCTTGTAGCGATAGCCTCTTTGCTGCAAAGACTGCCGGATGGCATCTCAGGGGTCCCCGCCAAAACTTCCATCCCACTGCAGACCCCTTAGCCTACGCTGGAAAGGGGCTGCCTTCACCCTGTTTGAAGCGCACCGCTGCCCGGTAAAGCCTCCGCCACTAGGGTTTAGCCAGCCAAGTATAGATTAAGGTGCGAAGGACCTACACCAGAGACATGAGGACAGGTCCCACCTGTGTCCAGGTGAGATACAGGAGGTACCACGTATCTCCAGACCGGCTGCAAGAGGGGGACTCCCCCCCGGAGGGGGGGCACGGCCGCCCCCCGGCCCCCGCAGCCGCAGCAGGGAGCTGCGCAGAAGGGGTCAATTACGCCCCGTTACTCCGGAAGGAAGCGGGACAACCTGGTGTCGGCAGGATCAGGGGACTGGACCCACCGCCCAGGACAAGGGGTCCGTTCCCTTACAGGCAGAACAATGTCAATCTGCCTGTCGGACTGACGGGACCGCGTTGTTAAGACGCTGACGCAGCCCTCAGAAGCCGCAAAACCAGCTACATCGCATTGCAACACCGCGGACGCCGTGAGGAAACGGCCAGATCTTCACCCGCACCGGGGTTTGCAGGAAGAAAAGCGCTGCAAGGGGCTTGTAAACCCCTGCGGACGCTCCTGCCCTGCCATCCCGGCGGGGAACGAGGGAGGGAAGGACCCGGCCCCCTCACG